TTGGTGTGCATATCTGAGAATTTATCTAGCCAGTTTGGTACAGGAAAACAAATACAAAAATTTCTTTTGCATTTAAAAAATATTCTGCGACCCATCTACAAATATAACATTGTATCGAACATGACTTAAAATTTACTCAAACAAACACACATGTTAATTTTTGTGTGGAATTTTGCCCAAGATTCACACTTACGTAATATTTACACAATGCCAAGTGCACACTTGAAAGGTAAGTCAGTCAACCCGTTCAGATAGTCCCAAATAGCCAGATGTTTAATATTGTGAAGGAACATATCCAGGTAATAAATGAGCTTATTTTTAACCTGAAAAGTTTGATATTGTGCCTGAGAAAATATTTTTCAGTGATACAAAAACAGGTGTCTTGCCATGAGTTATGGACTGAATTGTGTACCCCCACCTCCCCCAAATTTGTATGTTAAATCCCTACCTTAGAATGTGACTATATTTGGAGATAGGAGCTTTAAAGAGAAGATTAAGTTAAAATGAAATTGTTAGGGTCGGCCCTAGTCCAATCGGACTGTGTTATTATAAGAAGGGGGAAATTTGGGCACAGATAAGTGGGTGCATGAAGGGAAGACCATGTGAGGACACTGTGCGAAGACAGCCATCTGGATGCCAAAAAGAGAGGCCTCAGAAGAAAGCAACCCCGCTGACCCCCCTGGATCTTGGACTTTGAGCCTCCAGAATTGTGGGAACATAAGCTCCTGCTGGTTAAGCCACACGCTCTGTGGTATTTTGTTATGGCAACCCTAACAAATAAATATCCACGACACAGTGAACAGTGAGTGTGTAGAATGTTCAAGAGTTTATCAATTTGCTTGTCAATCTGTTTACTTCCCTGCTAATTTCATCTTTCTATTTATAAATTAATTTCTGAGTGGAAAAAAGACACTTAACATTGTTTGAATTAGACCATCAGCAAGCTATAAAACGTTTGTTAAAAATAAGTACAGTCTTCACTCCCAGAAATGAGTTTGAAAACACATTTCCAGTAACTTTGTGCATTCCCACTAACTAATATTTTGAGAATAATCTGTGGTAATCTTGGAGAAACTATGTAAAACTCAGTATTCTTTTGTCTTTTAATACACATTTTGGAAATGTCTAAGAATAGCCATTGCTCAGTACTATAAAACATGATGTCATTCTTTGAAAAATGTCTCAAAATGCGTTAGGGTAATAGAATCCAGACAAGTTGAGAGTGGTCTTAATCATCTCATTACCTGAGAATCTTTACTCTCAAAAATATGCCCTGGCTGGTGTGGCTCAGTTGGTTGGGTGTTGTCCGTGCAACAAAAGGTTGCTGGTTCGATTTCCATTTAGGGCACATGCCCGTGTTGTGGGCTCAGTCCCTGGTAGGGGCCTGCAGGAAGCAGCCAATCGATGGCTCACTCTCACATCGATGTTTTTCTCTCCCTCTGCCCTCCTCTCTAACAACAAAAATCTTAAAAAAAACCACCTAGATAATGGAAGATGCTTAATACATATTTTTTAAAAATATATTTTTATTGATTTCAGAGAGTGAGGGAGAGGGAGACAGAGTTAGAAACATCAATGATGAGAATCATTGATTGGTTGCCTCCTGTACACCCGCCACCAGGGAGCCCACAACCTGGGCATGTGCCCTTGAGTGGAATTGAACCTGGCCCTTCAGTCCACAGGCCAACGCTCTCTCCACTGAGCCAAATCGGCTAGGGCTAGTAAATATTTTTAAAGAATTCCTACTTTGTTCTTTGGGAAGGTAATGAGATTATTTTCCCTGCTGTCATCCTTGCAGTGGAATACATATTTCCTGTTACACATTGTAATTTTAATTTGACTTTAAGAAAAACTATTGTTATTGTAAAAGCTACTGGAAGACAAAGTCATGTTCAAGTAGTTACAGTCAATAATCAAACAACCAAAAACAACAAGGAGAATGCCAAAACAAAGCCGCTCTTTTAGAGATGAATGATGAGAGGAAATCATTGATCAGCTGCCTCCTGCACGCCCCCTACTGGGGATCAAGCCTGCAACCTGGCATGTGCCCTCGATCGGAGTCAAACCTGGGCCAAACCAGCTACGGCAGAGCCCAATACTTTTAAATGGAACTTAGAAGTGAGAAAAACACCACACTATCAGCAATAGTGTCAACAATATAAAATAAAAAAAAGATGAGTTTGTTAAAGTGACTAATTCAGTTTTACTTAAATAAAATCAAATTGTAAAATAACCAACTAATAACTGTGGAAAAATAATGTGTATTTCAAAACTGCTAAAATAAAATGTTTAATAAAAACATAATAAAACAAAACAAAAAGCACTAATCAGAATCAGATATGGGGGAGAAAAACATTCCCCCTCAAGTGTCATGAAGCAGCAACCAGAAAGCTTCCAAAATCCACATGTAAGTGATGAAATTCTGTTAAAAATAAAAACCAAGAAAGAATTCTGAAAAGAAGGGAATTCTGCAAAGGGCTTTACAAAAATCAGTCAAGTTTCTAGAGGAAGGTATAAGGAATTAATCCTAAACTGCTTAGCTGGCAGAACAAACCTATTTCATTTTCTTTCTTGCTGCTCACGATTCTTTTTATAATTTGTGAGGCAAACGTAGAAAGTTTCTGCAGGTCTTGGGAAATGACACAAACTGTATTAAGTATGACTTTTAGGAAACCTAATCTGCTCCCGTTAGATAAGATTTTACTATACTTGCTGGAAATAAGACTCATCTGTTATGAATTGCCCTACCTTTGCTTTAGGGCAGCGATTTTCAACCTTTTTCATCTCAGGGCACACAAGCTAATTACTAAAATTCTGTGGCACACCAAAACATATGTTTTGCTGATCTGACAAAAAAAGTATAATTTTGATGGAATTACAAAAAAGTAATAATAGTAGTAATTACTTACCCTTTTTCCTCCAAAGTGACTTTGTAAAAAATATCAGAAGCCCATACTTGTATATCAGGATTTTTGGTACCAAGAATTAACCAATCAGCTGCATCCTTATTATGTGACCAATAAGATGCAACTCTATTATATAACCTATGTATTTGTGGTTCAAGACAGGGCATTCACACTGGATGGCTATTGTGTTG